CAATCCTTCCGCTGTACATTTATTTTATGCTATAAATGTCTCTTGTTTATTCTACACTTCAGATTTTCCCGCGGGTTTCGGGAGGTAAAAAAAGAAAAGAAAACAAGTCTTGCCCCAAAAATAAACCAAAAGAAGCTTGAAAGCTACGTTCTTGATGCGTTATAACCGAAAAATAAGGATTTTATTTTGGGCATGAACAACAAGTACAGAATGCCTTATGGTCAATAAAGTTGAGAGCATGTACTATTTTGAGTAATAATAATAAGTTGATGACTACATAAGCAACATTTGTGGACGAAAAGATTGGGTAAACAGATAGGAAAGCACAAGACTATTGCTTCATGGGTTTGGCTTTGTTGAACCATTGGCTATAACTTCTCCTTGGTTCTTATTGTTGTTAGTGTCTTTACCAGCAGCAGAAGCAGGAACAGATCTTCCGCTGTTCGAAACAAGGTTCTTGATAGTCGATTTCAGGTCTGTGTCTTTCATAAGCGAGTCCAGCGTCACGTGTACGCCTGCGTGCACATTAAAACAGTTCACATCATAATCAAGTTGAAACTGTTTCCTTCTCAGATTTTTGTGTGTTGGTGGTACTTACGGTATCGCCAGTAATGTTTAGGGTTTGTTGGGTCATTGATCGTCTCTTCTGTTGCAGGACGAGTAGTGTACTCTTCTTTCAGAGCCAACATATCCTAATTATTTCAGAGGTAAAAACAATCACCACATATTGTTCTTGAGGCTGATAAAAAGTCGAATACTCTGAGGTTTCGGATGCCTCCTGGCTGTTGAATACCTGAAGAGGGAAAATAGCCCACATTGATGGAGCTTCAACGTGTTGCCTCAGAATGAAATGGGTTATCTCTGGAACACACTGACTTGGAGGGATTTCATCTACACCAATCACTTCCTTGAAGTAATGTTGTCTTCTCTCTTCGTTTTCCTCCCACCAAGCACGCAGTGTAGAGCAGTCGTGGCATGAAGGAGCACATACCTGAAATATGAACCGTTGGTTTGAAATTCCTCAGGAAATGAATGCAAGGAAGCTAATAGAAATAGACAGAGTTCTGAGAGAAAAAATCGGACCGTCATATAGTCATAATTAGAGGGAATCCCGAATTTCACATCGGACTCACTGGGCATACGCTGAATGCGAAGGCCAACCAACCCCAGTTCTTGCATAACCTGAAACAACATATTTTCATTATATGTATGCTTCTACACAAATAGTAAACAGAAATCGTTGGATGAACTCAGAGCAACCATACAGGATGTACACAAGATGGAATGAGGCCGAGATCCTCCCCACATGCCAGCATATTAGACGAATTTAACAGAGCAGGCAAGGTTTTCAAAGCATTTTTCCTCCATAGATCCTCTTGGCGTTGGAAATAGTAGTCATAGTATAGTCTCTTCAGAACATTTTTGCTGTATCAGAAGACTTTAATCAGAGTTTCCATATTGATTGAATAAAAAGAAAAATAACGCAAAAGATAAGAGCAAACGAGGATCTGGGTAATGTTCATGAGTGATATAAATCAAAGAAACGAGAGCAGACTTCTTAATTTTAGAAATATACTATCGTTATTAGGAAAAGGTTTTGAAAGTACCTGTGATCATCCAAATCCTGGAAACTTGAAGTATCCTCAATATTAAAGCGAGGGTAAAATTTTCTTGCATCCTCTGGATCTTTGATCAGAACAACATTCTAGGGACACAAATTCAGCAGAATTAACAATTGAGAACAGTGGTATCGAGAAAGACATAAAGTGGATAGAGTCATTCTGTGGTTAACAAGGAGAGGAAATCTAGAAGCACTTATGATGCGTGACAGTTTACCCGTAAAATGTCAAAGACATCCCGGCGAACTTTGTCCTCACTTTCTATCAACAAAGACTTCTCAGCTAATGACTTCAGCTTTGCTGCAATCTTTTTCTCTGTGTTGCAGTCCTCCTTGAACTAAAGTATGATTAAAGGAAACATATTTCAAGAAAGGCAAGAATTGTTTTAGAATTTAAGAAACTGGAACCACATTAATCCTAAACCTTGGTAAACATATGAACCCAAAAATAATCATCAAACTCATATGTTATCAGAAAGCAGCACCATGCTAAAGTGTTATGGAATTGTAATGTGGTTCTCCAAAGGGAAACGACCTCTAAATGAGGAATTATACTGACCTCGTAGAAGTCCTTATGAGTTTCATTAAGGAAGTTTGACGCAATAAAAGGCCAAAAATCTCCAAATTTCTCCTGAAGGAACATAACAACGACATAAAGCAACAAAAAGGTAAGTAGTCATTTATGAGGTGACGGCTGTGCCTTGAAAATTCACAAATTTAAACTTACTAAAAGATGTGATAAAAGCAGATCATAACACGTGTGATGGGAAACTAACCTCAAGAAACTTCCTCTGGACATAGGGCTTGCTTAACCGGTCAAAATCCCATATTCCCTCCTTTTCCAACTCTTCCTGCACCAGAAGCATTCTCATTTCTCCTTAGCTTTAAATCTATTGAAAAGTAACTCTCAAAGCCAAGTTCTTTTGAACTGTAAGCTTGTGTACCTGACTTAATGGAATAGATGGCCGGAACTTCCCCACTAAACCGGTCATAGCATGAGCTGGAAGCTCCCAGATTCTAAAGAATCCTAATATATGATCAATCCTGTACGCTGTGAAATATTTCCCCATCTGCAAAGAAAGTATGCAATAAGGTCAGCCCTCAGATCTTCCTAGGGCGGTGGTTGGTAAGGACACTACTGCCAACCTGTGTTAAGCGAGCACGCCACCAAGCATAGTTGTCTTTTGACATTTCCTCCCAGTTATAAGTAGGAAATCCCCAGTTCTGACCATTTTTGTCAAAATAGTCTGGAGGTGCTCCAGTTGACGTATTCATACGAAATAGATTCTTGTTAACCCAGGTATCGACACTGTTTCTGTCAACGCCAATAGGTAGGTCTCCTTTCAGCACAACTCCTCTCTTCCTTGCATATTCTGCTGCTTCTGACAACTTTTGAAAACGGAACCAGCACACACTTTTAAGTTTAAAATGTTACATCCAATAACCGAATTCACTTACAAGAATGGACCATAACTAGATGAAATACGAATCAGAACATACTCACTTGTACATGTAAATGGTATTGGATGTAATAGTGGAAGCATATAGTGTTATAGTGCAAGCTGTCCTTGGATGTCAATTTTTCAAGCTGCGGCATATGTTATTTTGAGATGTTGGAAGTTACTCAAACTATCAAGATGAATAACATCTGGAAAGCTTGGACTAATTCGATCAGTAAACTTCAACAAGATAAAAGCATAGAATACCTTGTCTTCTGTGTAGTCAGAAAAGGTCCCCCACTGACTATGATCTGAAGTCTCAAAAAAGTCACGCAGAAAGCAGAAAGCTGCATATGGTTTTAACCAGCCCTGTCCAGGAAAACAAACTCAGTAAGCGATATAGAAAGCTGAAGAGAGCCTTTGGAGGCAGAAGTTTTATGCAGGCATATATCTTTGTGAAGGGCACAATATCAGATTTTGAGCATACCTCGTTCTCAGAGAAGAATTTCTGGAAAGAGCTCGAGTTCAACGTCTGGTCTTTCTCTAGGTCAAAGATCTTCTTGGCAATTGAAAGCTTAGTTTCCATGGTAGCCTCATAATCAACATCCTACGCATAAAGATATTTAAGAGATGAGTTTACACTCGAACACTGACTGTGACAAACTAACGTATGAACCATCCACTTGGAGGCTGTCAAACACATCATGCTGACACAGACAAGAACCATTAGAAAATACCATACCCTGTTTCTTCGGGGATATTATTTTCAAGAATACAAAGGTGTAGAGGTAGGAAAAGCTATGCAACGTCTAACAAAGCACTGATTACCTTCTTGTCCAGTTGCTTCTTTGCCTTCTGAATTTCTTCCTGAAAGGAAACGAAATAAGTCAGCCAATTCATTTCTTAGGAGAGTGGTTCTTTCAGGAAACAATAAGTGTAAAAAATTACCTTGATACCTTCTGGCAGACGTTCAGAGAGAGCCTGTACTCTAAGATATAATGGATGCAATGCAAACACAGATAACGAGCTACAAGAGAGAAGCAACGTTCAATGAGTTAATATTGGTAAGTAGAGAATTGATATTCACCAGAGCCTCAGGCTCAGTCACTTATGCAAGGTCCCAGAAACCCAAATTTAAGCCAAAAATGAATTGTTCATGAATTTAACAGTCAGGGCAGAATAAGAACAAAACTTCTGGAATATTTGTTTCCCTCCATTAAGTGAATGGCAGCAACCCTTTATTAAACTCGTGCAAAACTAACATACATGTAGCCTCATACCTGTATGGATACGAGTCCCACCACATCTTATGCACGGATGTGTCATTTACTGGTAAAAGTTGTACTAGATGCAACCCGGAATCAACGGACCAGTCAACAAGCAACTTCAGATCGAGAAACTCTCCCACGCCAAGATCATCTTCTGATCTAACAGAGAACATGGGAACTGCAACACCAGCACCCCTCCATGGCATTGCCTACATGTAAAATTAATTAAATTTAAGACAACATTGATCATGTCACATCAGGAGCTAGTTCATAGTTAGTCACTGTTACTTACTCGAAACAAGCCATCCGACATGACAATGTATTCCTGTTTACGACCGCTGGTGTGAAGAGAAAGCTCCCGATTACCACCAGATTCCAAACCTATGTTACCTTCCTTCTGAACTTTACAGTATCTATATGTGAAATAATAGTCAAGAATCCAGCACACATTAAGCATATGAGAAGTGAAGTGTTGAATAGGTGCTGCAACAAATAAGTCTGGAAGGAAGGAAAGAAAGGATATTTGATAGGAAAGTCTGCTTTAGGGATCAAGCAATCTGATTCCCATATGGATTCACCAACATAGTTGAGTCTAAGTCCATTTGCAACTTTCCATGTCCCCAACTTCGCTGGGGTGCCTAGAACATACACCTGTACATGTCATAATCAAGGATAAAAAAATGTTGGCCACCACATCACATCAGACTCAAACATGAGAATAAAGAAGCCCGAAGATCATTGAGAAAGGCTTACCGATGTTCCCTCCCCAATGTCTGGACAACAGATTCTGAATTGGACAACAACTGAATCTGTTTACATGGTAAAGTCATGAGGCCACAAAAGTTAGCCAAGAGATCAATCACAAAGTAGAGAATCTCAGAGACAATGGTGCGATATGTTCAAATAAAAAACAATTACCATCTCGATCCGACTTATTCTCAAAGACCCCTAGAGGTCTTTCTACTTTCAGATCACCACTGTTGCGGAAGATGACATCTTTAAATGCGCTTCTAAATGGGAGAGCTTGATCCCCACTCTGGAATTATAAAGGAAGAGAACATCTCAAGGGAAAATTATAAGCAGCAAGAAACAATCATAGGATTGTCGTTACTAGCGCCATTATAAGGAGATAAACAGCAAATGAAAGTATTTTCAAAATCCCCTAACTGTAGCAATCAATCACAACACTTCAATAATCTCAGATAACAATAGTTCTACAACCTGCTAAAAAAAAGAAGATAAAACCCCAAACCTGCCAGAGATCACGAAGCTGTACAGACTCTCCACCAATCAACGTCTCAGGAACCACGAGTTTCCGCTTCATCCCAAACTCCGACCTCAGCACATTCTTCAAGTCATCCACCACATAGTAACAGTAGTCACAGGTAAACCCAGGTGGAACAGAGACACATCCACTCCAGATAAGCTGATCATCCTTGTGAGACGGCTTTAGCAGCAAACCTTTTTTCACATTCCCAGAACCAAGTCCAGGAGCCGAACCACAAACCAACAAGCTCTGTCCCCAGTGAGTAAAATACGGTATCGAGAAGCTAAGGCTAACCATTGGCTTACTCGACTTGCTCGTACTCAACGAAAGCGATCCTAGATTCATCCTTCTCTAAACAAACAACACGAACACAAATCAAAACTCCGGCAAAATCAAAAGCGAAAATCAACAAATCAGCAACACGCAAGCCATTGGAGTAAATCGAAAATCACGGAAGAGAGATTTAGTGAAGTAAGAAAATGGAAATCGATGATGATCACCTTTGCGTGAATCTAGAGAC